AATTGAAAAATCTGAAGTTAGAAGCTGATTGGCTCCCATGTACCAAATTCTACACTCTCCAATTTTAGCAAAAAATCCACCCCATTGACAGCTAAGGGGATGCCTTGGCAGCCATGTTTATCTCCCCAGCATCCACAGCACACCGAAATACCGGTCCGGGTGGGTGGTGGAGGGGCTTTACACCGGTTGTTGTCACATGTATATCTTGAAAAAGCATTCCAAACACTATTAGAGCCTTTTAGACTTGATGCTTATTGATATCGGAGAGTGACGTGCGCTCCATTTCAATGTGCCTTCACTAGGATCCTTGATAGACTCTTACGCTGCGCGGGGCCCCATCAGATCCCAATAAAGGAATGGAAATGTTCTTTAGAGATGTGTATTTGTCGGTTTTTATGAGCGTCTAACCTGCAGGGCAGACAGGAAAATGCACGGCACAATCGAATTAGCCAACCTGCTGAGGATCAGCTACAGACATAAAAGCACATTGTCATTGATCGGTCTGTGTAGAGGCGGCACATGGAGGGCTCAGACCTACATCACTGCCATAGGAATGCTGGTGTCAGGGCAGAACGCAGACGCACCATTTAATATAGTTGTGTGTTCTTTTGAAAAAGAAATACATGTATTTCTTTATGTCTTTGTATAGACGACCAGTAGAAATACCTGAATCTGACTATATGTCAGCTACTGCCATTCTCTGTACTGGGAGGGGGAGCCCATCAGGATATTCACATGATGTCAAGAGCAAGGAGAATGAGTGAGTAGAGATGATAACCTATTAGTACATTGCTGCCACTCGGCAAATGGTGTGTGTTTGGGGATGGGGGGGGGGTAACATTACAGCGCTCCATTAAAGTGCATCTAAAGCCAATATTTTTTTTTAGTTTCCTATACAGTGGTGAAAGATTAGAACCCCCGTCACAGTTTTATTACTGTCTATGCCCCCTGTTGGGGACAGTTGTCAAGTATCTGAAAGTGGAGGGGGGGGGGGTTATCTTCAGAACAGGAACATAGAGGTAATCTTCCGTTGGGGGACCCCTGTTCTGCTGAGAACATCTATGAGAATTTCCCTCACTTTGGAGAGATTTTCCCTTATTTCCTGCTGTGTTTAAAGAAGAACTCCAGGTATGGATATTGTGACGGGAGCAGGGGCGGACTGACCATTTGGAAACTCGGGCACTGCCCGAGGGCCCGGGGTCAGTAGGGGGCCCCATGAGATGCCCCTGGTACCTTTTTCATAGGCTTTTTTGAGTTTGGGCAAGGACACAGGGGCCCCATGATCCCCTATTGCCCGGGGGCCCCATGAGTTGTCAGTCCGCCCCTGGACGGGAATCACTTTGGGTGGGGGGCCCATGGAACCCAGCTCACTTTGAAGGGGTGGGGAGACCCCTGTCTCAGCTCCCCATATCCCTTCTATGTGTAAGTCACCCTGTGCCTGTTAGGGGTCACCCTGTGCCTGTTAGGGGTCACCCTGTGCCTGTTAGGGGTACAGGGTGGAATGTCCTGATATTGTGTAGACATGTATCTGTGGCGTTTGGAGGTTGTTCATTGTTTACTGCCACGTGGTGCATCCCATTGTTCTATTGCGTGTCTTGCTTGGGAGCAAACTATTATGGGATGTAGGTGTTTGTGTATTGGCTTGGTGGGTGGTGTCTGCTGATGTATCTCTGGTTGCTAGATTTGGTTTGCCCCCCCTGTGTCCATATGCAGGGAGGGGGGTTGTTCCATTGAATGTTTATATCTTGTGTCTGTGTTAATATAAAGCAGTCTATTTCCTGGTTTCCTTCAAGTCTGGTGGTCTCTAGTCTCATATGGTCAGCGGTGGGGTCCGTGGTCGGTGTTCAGACAGGGACGCAGGAGTTTAATGGAAATACCCTCGTGCAGTCAGGGTCCGGTTCTGTTAGAGATATATTATACGCAGTTACATGGGTCCAACTTGCACAGAAACTGGAAATCACTGTATAGACACCGCAGCCACACTGCTACTACATTGCTACTCCAGAGATCTCCACCAGCTTCCAGGTCTCCTGCCCTATTGTGAACACAGGAGGTTGGCAGCTTGGCATGGGCGCCATCGGGGGTGCTGTTAGAAAACATGGGGCCCCATACAGCCAACCTGATAGGGGCCGGGACCCCCAACGCCGCCCCGCCGAGAAAAAAAACAGTTTACTATACTTCAGTTTTAATGAATGGTGATCGATACTGATCGCTCATTGTGTTCGTTCAGGAAAGGAAGGGGTTGGTAAATGTGACATATTTACAGGACCCTTCCCCACTCTCCATCCTGAAGGATTATATTGTGTGCTTGCAGCTGCTGGTGGAGAGGAGAGGAGGGAAGCCGGCAGCACTGCGGCGGTGGGGGGACACAGGGGGACCTGGGCAGGAGGGGGAAACATATGGTGCACAGGGAGGGTGAAGGGTGCACTGGGGGGGGGGGGGGTAATTACTGGGACCAATTCCCTGTATGGCTCTCTCTGCAGCAGCTGAAAGCCAGCAGGAGGGAGAGGAGAAGAGACTGGCTTTCAGCTGCTGCAGAGAGAGCCATACAGGGGATCAGTTCCAGTCGGAGCGGACTGACCATTTGGAAACTCAGGCACTGCCAGAGGGCCCAGGGTCAGTAGGGGGCCTCATGAGATGCCCCCGGTACCTTTTTCATAGGCTTTTTTGAGTTTGGGCAAGGACACAGGGGCCCCATGATCCCCTATTGCCCAGGGGCCCAATGAGTCATCAGTCCGCCCCTGGTTCCAGTATTTTCTCCCCCTCCATGCATAACCACCCTGCACACATCTGATTCACCCCAGCTTCCTGGGCCCCCCTGCTGGCTTGGTCCCCGTACAGGAGGATCGATTCTACCCCTTATCCACGGCCCTGGGCACCATGCCGAGAATGCTTTGCACTTCTGAATTAAATGCAAAGCACTCTTCGATTGGACAAGGTGGAGAGCATGATGTCACTGCCCCGCCTCTCCACCTTGCGAGCAATTTACAGTAAATAACATGACTGTGAGTTCTTTCTCTCGGGATATAACACTTGGAACCCCTCCCCCCGCCCCCTTTAAAATAATCACATTTTGCTGCTTTGCAGCCTGAAATGAAGACAGACACAGTTTTTGTTTTATCCAGCTGTATTTACTGAAAGAGTGAAAGATATACCACCGTGTCAGAAAAAAAAAATTTCTAAAATTCTAAAACAGAATCACTGAGTTGGAAAAGGGATCCCCCCTTGTGTCAGTATTTTGTTGAACCCCCTTTTGCATTAATTCCAGCCTTTAGATTGTTGGGAAGTCTTTATTAACTTTGCATATCTAGACTTTGCAATATCCGCCCGCTTTTCTATGCAGAACTGTTCAAGTTCAGTTACCTTTGATGGTGACGGTTTGTGGACGGCAGTCTTCAAGTCATGCCACAGATTTTCAATGGGGTTGAAGTCTGGACTCTGACTAGGCCATGCAAGGACATTCACCTTCTTCCCCAACCACTGAAGAATAGATTTCAAAAAAAATTTGAAAAAATACATATTTGTTTAAATATAGTCTTCAGAATTTTTTTTAACACATAAAAAGGTCATTTTAACCCCTTGACGCCGACATCACACAAATCTGCGGCCTCACAGAACTGGGCTTTTTTTCCGTGGGGCTGCATATTTGCGTACCTGTCTTTGCATGCTCCCAGCACAGAGACCGCGGTGTCACTGAGAGCCCCGTTCTAACGATCAGGACCCAGGACTCCTGATTCTGGGTCACATGATCACTGCGATAGCCTCTGATTGGCTATCACAGTGATCAGTCTCTGTGCAGCCCGGTTCCCCTTGTTTTTTTCTCTCTCTATGAATGGAGGAGAGAGATACCTTGTATCTCTCTAACTCCTGGCATAGAGAGAAAAAAAAAGATAAATAAATAAATATTAAAAAATAAAAGAAAACATAAAGAAAAATACCTAGATCAAGGTTTGATCTAGTTCAGTGCCAGGGTTAGGGTTTGGGTCAAGGTCAGGGTCAAAGGTCAATGATAAAGGTCAGGATTTAAAAAAAAAATGGTATCAGTGTCAGTTAGTGTTAATGTCGGTGTCGGTGTGTTTTAGGTAAAAAAAAAAAAAGACAAATACAAAATGCACACAATTGTTTCTGGGCTGTACTACGGGTACAAACAACAAATAACATACACATATATGGTATCGCTGCGATCGTCAAGAGCTGGAGAATTTATTTTGGGTTGTTCTATGGAGGTAGGTTATGGTTGTAACAAGAAACACGCAGCTAAATAAAAAAAAAAGATTTTGTTTTACTATTTTGGACCAGTTTTCCTTTGATAATAAAAAAATCAGAAGATATCCATTACCATTTACCACCAACTGAAAGCCCAATTTGTCCTGAAAAAATTGCGGTATAATTCACCTCAATGTACAAAGTAGTTGTGACGATATGTACGTTTTTACTAACACACGTCAACGTTGCAGAATTGTGTTTAGGCATTTAGATTTGTTTTACCCTTAGGCGTGAATATATTTTTACATATATTTGTAAATGCATTCCAGAAATGTACATTTGTATTTTAAAGACATACAGTATATTTGAAATATATATTTAAAAATATTTTTCATATATTTTGTAATCAAAACGCATTTCAACATACAGTGTATATACATATTTATTGAAATATATATTGAAATATATTGCATATGGCCAAAATTGTAGTATTTCAAATATATGGCAATATACAGTATTTGGGAAGAATATTTTTAACATATATTTCAAATATATTTTTCTTCATCATATGGGTATGTAAACCCTGCCCCTTCCTCTTTAGGCTCCACCTCTTCCTATTAGAGCTCGCTCTCAGGAGTTGGTCAGAGACTGCGGACATCATACAGGAGAAGGTCAGACACTGTGAACATGATACAGGAGCTGGCCAGTGACTGCAAAAATGATACAGAAGATGTTCAGAGACTGCAGACATATTACAGTAGAAGGTCAGAAACTGCAGACATACAATAGGAGATGGTCAGAGACTGCAGACATACTACAGGAGATGGTCAGAGACTGCAGACATCCTACGGGAGATGGTCAGAGACTGCAGACATGCTATAGGAGATGGTCAGAGACTGCAGACATACTATAGGAGATGGTCAGAGACTGCAGACATACTATAGGAGATGGTCAGAGACTGCAGACATACTATAGGAGATGGTCAGAGACTGCAGACATCCTACGAGAGATGGTCAGAGACTGCAGAAATACTGTAGGAGATGGTCAGAGACTACAGACATACTATAGGAGATGGTCAGAGACTGCAGACATACTACAGTAAAAGGTCAGGGACTGCAGACATACTATAGGAGATGGTCAGAGACTGCAGACATACTATAGGAGATGGTCAGAGACTGCAGACATACTATAGGAAATGGTCAGAGACTGCAGATATACTACAGTAGAAGGTCAGAGACTGCAGACATACTATAGGAGATGGTCAGAGACTGCAGACATGCTATAGGAGATGGTCAGAGACTGCAGACATGCTATAGGAGATGGTCAGAGACTGCAGACATACTATAGGAGATGGTCAGAGACTGCGGACATACTACAGGAAATGGTCAGAGACTGTGGACACAATACAGGATATAGTCAGAGACTGTGGACACAATACAGGATATAGTCAGAGACTGTGGACACAATACAAGAGATGGTCAGAAAGTGCGGACACAATACAGGATATAGTCAGAGACTGCGGACATACTACAGGAGATGGTCAAAGACTGCAGATATACTATAGGAGAAGGTCAGAGACTGCATACATACTAAAGGAGAAGGTCAGAGACTGCATACATACTAAAGGAGAAGGTCAGAGACTGCGGACACAATACAAGATATAGTCAGAGACTGCGGACATACTACAGGAGGAGGTCAGAGACTGCGGGCACAATACAAGAGATGATCAGAGACTGCGGACATGATACAGAAGATGGTCATAGAATGCAGACATACTAGAGGAGATGGTCAGAGACTGCGGACAATATACAGGAGATGGTCAGAGACTGCGGACAATATACAGGAGATGGTCAGAGACTGCGGACAATATACAGGAGATGGTCAGAGACTGCGGACAATATACAGGAGATGGTCAGAGACTGCGGACAATATACAGGAGATGGTCAGAGACTGCGGACAATATACAGGAGATGGTCAGAGACTGCGGACATAATACAGGAGATGGTCAAAGACTGCGGACAATATACAGGAGATGGTCAGAGACTGCAGCCATGATACAGGAGATGGTCAGAGAGACTGCGGACATGATACAGGAGATGGTAGATACGCCCCTGGTTACCACCCATAGTTTATTGCTTGCTTCAGTTGCACTTCCAAGGACTGAAGTGCTCCATCCATCAATCCATTAATCTGTCCATCCATCCGAACCTCTATCCATTTGTCAATCCATCCATCTGTCCCTGTATACATACACCAGACCATTCATCCATCCCCCCATCCATCTGTCCATCCATCCATCCAAACCTCTATCCATTTGTCAATCCATCCATCCATCTGTCCCTGTATACATACACCTGACCATTCATCCATCCCCCCATCCATTTGTCCATTCATCCATCTGTCCCTGTATACATACACCTGACCATCCATCCATCCGTCCATCAGTCCCTGTATACATACACTTGACCATCCATCCGTTCATCAGTCCCTGTATACATAAACCTGACCATTCATCCATCCGTCCATCATTCCCTGTATACATACACCTGACCATTCATCCATCGATCCGTCGTCGTCCATCATTCCCTGTATACATACACCTGACCATCCATCCATCCGTCCATCTGTCCCTGTATACATACACCTGACCATTCATCCATCCATCCATCCATCAGTCCCTGTATACATACACCTGACCATCCATCCATCCATCCGTCCATCTGTCCCTGTATACATACACCTGACCATTCATCCATCCATCCGTCCGTCCATCATTCCCTGTATACATACACCTGACCATCCATCCATCCGTCCATCTGTCCCTGTATACATACACCTGACCATTCATCCATCCATCCATCAGTCCCTGTATACATACACCTGACCATTCATCCATCCGTTCATCAGTCCCTGTATACATACACCTGACCACCATTCATCCATCCCCCCATCCGTCCATCCATCCATCCAACAATCTTCGAGGAGTTAATATCGGGGCTTTGGGACACCCAGGCAGTATCATTTCATCAGTGAATGATGTCCTATTCCAGGAAATACACATCTACGAGTCGTAGTTTCAGGTTCCAAGGTCACAGAAGAAGCTGCTGACATGTCCTCATAGATATGAGATGAGGAAATCGGATTGTCCCATGGTAGCAGAGAGAAGCCTGAGAGAGGAAACGGATCTCCCGATTGAAGCTGCACAGCTAATTGATGAAACGTTTACATTACCATTTACATAGAAATCAATATGTGCAATGAAGCCGTGACGGAGTGATAGATGAGCCCAGATTGGGCTAATGTGAGAAGGAGAACGCCTCCCAGAAGTCGGGTTACTGAAGTCTCTGCATTGTTCCCTTCTAATGTTTCAGCTTTCTGTTTTCATGGCTTTTTTGTTCAAGAAGTATAAAAATATATTTCCCATTAGTCAGCATAGAGTGTACATTTATTAACCTTTTCAGGTCCTGGGGTAATCGGAATTTTCGAGACCAGACCAAGTTTTGAATTTTTGATGAGCAGTAGCACACGGAACAATAACTTTTTTGTATAAAAAATGATTTTCACAGAGGTGGGGTACAAACACGTAAGACCTTCATTTATTTTTATGTGGTTTTTAAGGTTTTAAAATAAACATTGAAATAGGCGAAATACAGTGCCTTGAAAAAGTCTTCACACCCCTTGAAATTTTCCACATTTTGTCATGTTAGAACGAGAACCATCAATGTATTTTATTGGGATTGGATGTGATAGACCGACACAAAGTGGCACATAATTGTGAAGTGGAGGGAAAATGGGAAATGGTTTTCAACATTTTTTTACAAATAAATATCTGAAAAGTGTGGCGTGCATTTGTATTCAGCCCCCTTTACTCTGATACCCCTAACTAAAATCTAGTGGAACCAATTGCCTTCAGAAGTCACCTAATTAGTAAATAGAGTCCCCCTGTGTGTCATGTGATCTCAGTATAAATACAGCTGTTCTGTGAAGCCCTCAGAGGTTTGTTAGATGTTCATCCATCGTGTTCGAAGAGGACCTTGATATCTAACAGGTAGTGGGCTGTCCACGGTGTGTCCGTAGGCGGCTGGTAAGGCCTATACGGGCACAATATGTTCTGCCATATGTCGGGTAGGCATATGTGGGCACCACTGTTGCAGCATTTGCAGCTCTGGCTTTGTGGAGTGCTCGCTTCTCTTGTGCTATGGTTTTTATTCTCTCCAACATTAGTGAGCAAACAGCATCATGAAGGCCAAGGAACACACCAGACAGGTCAGGGATAAAGTTGTGGAGAAGTTTAAAGCAGGGTTAGGTTAGAAAAAAATATCCCAAGCTTTGACCATCTCACGGGACACTGTTCAATCCATCATCCGAAAATGGAAAGAGTATGGCACAACTGCAAACCTACCAGGACATGGCCGTCCACCTAAACTGACAGGCCGGGCAAGGAGAGCTTTCATCAGAGAAGCAGCCAAGAGGCCCATGGGAACTCTGGAGGAGCTGCAGAGATCCACAGCTGAGGTGGGAGAATCTGTCCACAGGACAACTATTAGTCGTGCACTCCACAAATCTGGCCTTTATGAAAGAGTGTCAAGAAGAAAGCCATTGTGGAAAGAAAGCCAAAGATGTCCCGTTTGCAGTTTGTGAGAAGCCATGTGGGAGACACAGCAAACATGTGGAAGAAAGGGCTCTGGTCACATGAGACCAAAATGGAACTTTTTGGCCTAAAAGCAAAGCGCTATGTGTGGCAGAAACTAACACTGCACATCACCCTGAACACACCATCCCCCACTGTGAAACATGGTCGTGGCAGCATCATGTGGTGGGGATGCTTTTCTTCAGCAGAGACAGGGAAGCTGGTCAGAGTTGATGGGAAGATGGATGGAGCCATATACAGGGCAATCTTAGAAGAAAACCTGTTAGAGTCTGCAAAAGAATTGAAACCGGGGCAGAGGTTCCCCTTCCAGCAGGACAACGACCCAAAACATCCAGCCAGAGCTACATTGGAATGGTTTAGATCAAAGCATCTTCATGTGTTAGAATGGCCCAGTCACAGTCCAGACCCAAATCCAATGGAGAATCTGTGGCCACACCTGAAAATTGCTGTTCCCAGATGCTCTCCATCCAATCTGACAGAGATTGAGCAATTCTGCAAAGAATGGGCAGAAATGTTCCTCTCTAGATGTGCAAAGAGACATCCCCAAAAAGACCTGCAGCTGGAATTGCAGCCAAAGGGGGTCCTGCAAAGTATTGACTTTGGGGGGGCTGAACACAAATGCCGCCACACTTTTCACAGATTTATTGGTCACAAATGTTGAAAACCATTTCTCATTTTCCTTCCACTTCACAATTATGTGCCACTTTGTCGGTCCATCACATCCAATCTTAATAAAATACATTGTAACATGATAACAGGGGGGTGTGAAGACTTTTTCAAGGCGCTGTTTGTCTAAATAAATTCAAAACTGATTGTGCGCTGGCAGGTATATATGCAAATAAAAATGTGAAAAATGTGAATAATCAATGGAATCAACTGTTGCAAACACACAATGTGATTGTTCCACATAAATAAAATGAATATATATATATATATATAAAAACATTGTGTCGAACTTAAACAAGTAATCGTGCTGCATGAACTAATACAATGCCATGAGTCCAAAAATAGACCAGCAATACAAAATCCTATTGGGTACAAAATGAAACTTAAAGTCCTTCAGCTTGATTCACAAGTATATCTGGTGATACTCCTGCTGGTGACTGAGCCCTTCACCACAGTGCTGCAAGCTCCAGCCAATGTGCGCCACCATACTCGTTTGTCCAGATTGGACCCTCTTGATAGCAAGATGAATGCAGCATGTTATCAGACAATACCGGCAGACAGTTGGCACTCTTCTGAACGAAAGCTGAGCATGGGACACTCTTGGACTTTCCAGCACGATAACGACCCTAAGCACCAAATCTGCTGCAGCTGTGCAAAAAAAAAAAAACGATCAGCTTCCAGGTTTTATTTTCAAAGTATAACTGAACAAGCTGAAGTTACACCCCGGTCACACTGGATGCGAATTGTCCTCGCATGCCCAGTCACACCCTAGTGTCCACAATTGCAGCGTCCTATCGGTGCGGTTCCAACTTGCACCGATTTCCAAAGTAGTACATGCTCTACTTTTGGTGCGACTTGCATAGACATCTGTGTCAGATGTCTATGCAAACCGCACCTGAAATCGGCAGTTAACCCGACTTTGAAATTGTGCGACTTCACCGTAAGTCGCACGATTTCAAAGTCGGGTTTGACGTGACCGGGGTGTTAGA